CCCCCCCGCCATTCGCGGACCTACAGGGAATAACGTTCCAATGTAGAATTCCCGGACACACTCAATGCCCCATTCCATCCCAAGTCCATAGCACAGAAGGCGCGAAAGAAACGCTTTTCAAAGGCTAAGCAGGGGTCATGCACCACGAGAATGTTTAACGTTTCCACGCGGGTTGCGAGTGGCGGCGACGCCTTATCGCGGGGGTGTCAGAAAGACGTTGTCCTCGGCGCATTTCCTCCTCGACGTGGTGCTGCGCGTGCTACGCGGTACCCGGGAGAGGGGTGCGGGAGGAGAGGGCGTCGACTCGGTATAAGACGGCGCGGTCGGGCCCAGGTTCTTCAGAGCGCACGTACCGCCGAAGGCCTGAAGCGTATCACACCCCACGACCTCACGATGGTCCCCGCGTGGCTAGGCGGGCTAGGCTTGCTGGCCCTCCTGGCTCTCAGAGCGCCCGGCGTCGAGGCGCACGTATACGAGGCTTGTGAACTGGCAAAGCAGCTTAAGAGCCCTTACGGGTTTCCCCTCAGCCAGATCCCGACGTTCGTCTGTATTGCGTACTACGAGTCCAGGTAAGTTTTCGTGTCATTCTCCGAGTTCTCAGATGGTAATGGTACGTACCCTGATCGAAAACTTCACTCCACAGATATTTAGAGGTACTTGATTTTCAGATTCAACACGTCGGCTGTGAGCAAACCAAATAGAGACAAAAGCATAGACTACGGCATCTTCCAGATCAACAGTCGCTGGTGGTGCGATAGAGGCCCTAAACTAGGGTGCGGCGTCACCTGCCAGACACTGCTCACCGATATGGACCAAGTAGCAAAGTGTATCAAAGCCATTTATGCGGAGACTAAGAGGCTCAAGGGCGACGGATTCAAAGCATGGACAACATACAAATTCTGTAAAAATCCAAACTCTTTTACTGATAAATGCCAGCTTAGCTAATTATAGTAATAGAACACGATGGACCATTTATTCAATAGTTTCCAGAGGCAGACGTTTTTATTGTGATCAAAATTCAAAATTCTGGCCACGAGTTTTGTGACTTCTTAAAATATTGATCACAGTAAAGAAGTTGTTGCTGTACAAAGTTAGCAAATTTTGGGCTACTATGCAAATAACCACTTTGTACGTTGTTTATTGTATGGCACAAACTCTCAAAACTCACTTGTGTAAGACGCATAATATACATAGTGGTTGAAATAAAAAGTTATCTCTAC